GTTCCAATTTTTAAAAATTTGCATCTTCTCTCTTTTTTCTCTTAATCTGTCATTATTGGAACATCTTAATAATTTCTTCAAAGAAATAACTAATTTGTTGACCATATATTTTAACCTATTTATTTCACTTGTTTTTAAAAATTTATCCTTATTATATGTGTTATTCTACTTTATTGGAAGTTTTTTTTCCTAACATCTTCATTTGCACTAGAAATTTTAACCTGTATGCTGAGTGAAATCTATTGTCACTCAATATATTAATCCCACGCTTATAAAAAAAAAAAAGTACAAGGAGTACAAGGAAATAACCCCTCTACTAATGTTCACCTTGTGATCTACCTTTTTTTAAAAAAAATTCCTAAATTAGAAATGCTGTGCTTAGGTATCTCACAGATAGTGTTGACTTTTTAGTTATTTACTCACTAGACAGTTCTTTCTTACCATGGCTTCTTTCATTTTAGACTGTTCTCTCTCTCTCTCTTTTTTAATCTTTATTTATTTATCTTTATGAGGTGCTGAGGATCAAATCCAGTGCCTCACATGTGTAAGGCAAGTACTCTACCACTGAGCTATAGCCCAAGCCCCCATTTTTAGACTGTTCTTTTGAGATCATTTTCCTTCTAAGAAGCATATAACTTTGATATTCCTCTACTGATTACTTATTAGATCTCCTATTTTATTTTATTTATTTTTATTTATTTTTTTAGGGAAATGTCTCTACTTTTAGTTCTTCAAAGATAGTTTTGACATTTATGTTGCAATTGTTTTTCCTTAGCACTTTGAAGACATTATTCTATTGGCTTATGGGTTTCACTGGTAGTGTTGGGAATTTTGTGATCAAATTTTCATCTTTTTTAGCTGGGCTTTCTTTTCTCTTTAGCTATGTTGAGGACCATCTCTGAATTTGTGCTGTTCTGCAATCTCAGCTAGTATGTCTAGATGTTCATTTCTCACATGGATCCTTCTGGAACATTATGTGTTTCCATTATCAGTGATTTCATGGGGTTTTTGTTGTTGTTGTTTGTTTCTGTTTTTGTCCTGGGGATGGAACCCAAGGGAGCTTTATCACTCATTTAATCCCCAGTTCTTTTAATTTTTTTTTTATTTTGAGACAGATTCTTACTAAGTTGCCCAGACTGGCTTTGAACTTGTGACTCTCCTCACTCTGCCACCTGAGTAGCTGGGATTTTCAGGCATGCTGGTGCATCTTTTTCTTTTTTTCTTCCTTTTTGACCCACATCTGACCCTATTTTGTATTTTATTTAGAGACAGGGTCTCACTGAGTTGTCTAGCACCTCACTGGATTGTTGAGGCTGGCTTTGAACTCGTGATCCTCCTGCCTCAGCCTCCCAAGTCACAAGGATTACAGGCCTACCACTATGTCCAGATAGATTCCCATCTTTATTCAGTTCTGGAAAAAAATTCAAATATTTAATTTAAATATTTCTTCTTCTTCATTATCTATAGTCTCTCTTACTATAATTTCAATTACATGTATATGACTAATATCTTATGTTTATCCCCATGTCTTTTAACTTCTCTCCGATAATTTCAATCTTTTTGTGTCTTCATTTTTTTATCAGATCTAAGTCTTCATATATGTCTAATTTTCTGAGTATGACCTGTTGATCATGCACAGAAATGGAGAAGTAGAAAGAAGGATGATTTAGGAAATGGTAGTCATTTCAAAAATAGAAGAGACATTAATTCCCTTCCTCGGTAACATGCAATAATAACCACTCTCAACACTCCTCTGTTTCTTATAGGATATCTATAAAACTAATGCTATACCATTAACTTTTCACTTAAATTTTTTTTAACTTTTTTCCAAGTTTTCTGTGAAAACATTTGTCTTATCTTTTAAAAAAACAAATAAAATGAGATTTATATTAAATATCAAAATTCAGCAAAGAAGCTAAAAAGTTAATGCAGTAACATGGATTTGCAAGCTCACTGCAATGATTTATTTGATGCATAATAAACTCTTAAGCCCCCTGGAACCTTTTCCTCCCATCTGTAATATGGTCTGTGTGACCTAATCAAAGGCCAGCACCATGTTCTGTGTGTGATTTGTGGTTTTCCAAAACAGTAAAATAAAATAATTTTTTAAAATTCCAAACAATCATGAGTTCAGCAAATGCTGCTGAAATTTCCTCCTATTAAACAAATTCTTTTATTACTGACTTTCTTCAGAAGTTTGTGACTATAGAGCTACTATTCCACTGTTGTTAGCGGTAGCAAATAATAATTTGCAAAACAACCCTGAGGCATCCATTTGTAAAAATTAGTACTCTTTGTTATATACTAACTTAAGATACAAAGCTATCATTGAGAGATTAATTTTTAAATTTTAACATCATAGTTAGTAGTCTAGCCCTTTAAAACATTGTATATTTGCAGTCTCCCTTTCCCCAAAGTTGTATAGAAAAAATTAGACTAATACATACTTTGATCTCAGAAGACATATTTAGAATACATGAATTCTTTATATCTTTAATATATTGCAATAATTCCAATTAAAGAGATAATTCTTGCAGTCCCCACGTTGCTGTCTTTCTCCCTCCCTTCCTTCCCCCTCCTCATATCCCAGTTCTACACTGCCAAATCCAAAAATGACTTGGAGCACTGTGCTTAGTATTAGCAGTGTCAGCATTTAGGACTTCTATCCAAATGATTTCTTGATTACCTTGGTGATAAAGGGAGACAGTATGGTGGAAATTGGGACCCCTGTACCACCAAAGTAGGCAGCCAATATTGTAGAGTTGGAAGGTTTTCTGACCCTGCATACTTCCCCTGAAGACTTAAATTCTAACATTAGCGATGTATTCCTTTGGGCCAGGGCATTGCCCCTTATCAAAATGCAAATTCCTTTAGGCCAAAAAAATTGCCTTAAGCTGTTATCATTCATTAACATAATTCAACTAATACATGTATTGGAACATTTCCAGACAAATTAGTCTGGGAGTAATATTTTAAAGAAAACTAAAGAGGTCCAATTTGAAAGTGATTCAGGACTAGGTAAGAAGTTGCTAACCATCTAGGCAGCAGTAGGGGACCATTTCATACAGAGAAGAGGGAAAGCAAAAGCAACCAGAGGTTGAAGAAACTCATCAGATGCCCAGTTTTGTTTTGTTTTGTTTTTTATCCTTGCTTCTGAGTGTGAACTTTTCAAAAAGTGAAGAAAGCAATAGCTACCTGAACACCCTATGGATCTAGCCTAGGGGACATGGTTTCCTGCCCAGTTTCATCTGGGATTTTATTAGGCAAGAGTCATGGAGAGTAGAAAGCACCCATGAAAATGAACTCAGAGGTGATCAAAAGTGTGAAAGTGTCAAGGGTGAGCTAGAGGTTATTCATTGCATTTATAGGATTTTATGACACATGGGTAATTATGATCATGACTACTCAAACTAAGCACAAAATTGGTCAAGAGTCTTATTTCAATCTGAAGTTTAAATAGTCATCTCACCAAACTAGGACTGGGTATATTTGTACAAGCTCCCTTGTTCTCACATTTAGTAAGTATTTCTGGTATTTTCACTTGTACAAAGTTCACTGCCAGTGTTCTGGGGAATACAATGAATAAAAAATACAAAAGAGCTGTTCCCAAGTAGCTAGTAAAGGGCTGTGAGAAGAAAATAAAACAATAAATATAATGCCAGTTAAGACTATGCTGTGAGCTCTCTGGGAAATACAGATGAAGCACATATGGCATGCTGAGTTTTAAATAGTGTTCAACCCTTTAATTATAAATAACATGTTCAGCCATTGCCATAAGATTGGCAGTTGGGAGTGTCAATTACTTTCATGCAGATCACCTAAAGCCATCAGTTATCTTCTAGGAGGAGAGATAACTCAAAATCTTGGAAATTAACAATTGATTTAAAAATAAAAGCAAAAACAAAAACTTCTGCTCCCACCTCTGCTAGAAATTCCCAAGGGTCCCTAAAGCATTTTTTTTTAAAAAAAGGAAATGGAAATTCAAATATCTTTTGAAGCTTTTTCTGACATTATGCCTTTTGAGTCAGGATTGCTCCTTGTCATGGTACAGTAGGGTTGGGGATTGAGAGATGCCAAAGTGCTTGAGGTTAGAGCCGAGATCTAAGTGGAGGTAGCAGAAGGTACCGAGGCTAAAAGAAGGTTCAAAGGGGGCCACTATGTGGAAGGGCATGGTTCAGAATTTCAAAAGAAGAAATTCAATGAAACACAGGTGAGAAAGAGTCAGAAGCAGGTATTGAAGTCAGAGTACAAAGCCCAGATTCTATATTAAGTGACATTCAACCCCACAATAAATGTTCGCACTTGAGACTCGCTTTCATGGAGTATTCAGGAGAGATGTAAGAGGTCAAATTTATTGGGCCAGAGACTGAGTGGATGTTGCCAGACAAACCAGTCTTCCTTGGACTGGTCAGCATCTCTCTCCTTGTGTCCTTGTGTGACTTGGTAATAAGTGAGAATCACTTTCACAGTCATTCATGTCATACACATTTATTAAGCAACAAATGTGTTCCAGGCTCTGTGCTGAGTGTACACAGAAATTCAAATGGAAGCCAAGGGCAGTGTCACACATAGTCCAGGCTCAGCTCAATTACACCTATTTTCCTTAGGCTGGCCAAGGGCTGACCTTAGAAGACTAGCCTCAACTTTCAAATAGTCCTGACTAAGCCTCTCACAGAACTCATATGATTAATCACAAATGTCCTTTGGTTTACAACCCTTTCGGAGGCAGATGTTTTATAAGAATTTAACCTTGAGGATAAATGCCTTAAAGTACTATTGAGCAAAAAATCACTAAGCTCTTTTCAGGTAACTTCTGGGTACTCTCAGATTGTTGTGTCTGTCCTCTTACACCTACGTGTCCCATCCTCCTGCCCATCTGTTCTTTTCACTCAAGCTCCAGAATCCTATGCCATGGGCAGGATTTTCACCTCTCAATATAGAACTGTGTATCTTACCTCATAGTCCAACTAACTTCCTGAGAATAAATCATTGTCGTTGTATTTCATAAGAGACAACAAACATTGATTTTGTTGTTAACATAGGTGAGGCTTCGTTCATTCAATAGAGTATATATTTTAATCACCAGTAACTGTCCTGAGATATCAGATGATAATGTCCTGGAGGATCAACTTTAATAAGTTATTGATTACAATTTGAGAAGCCCTGTGTCCAGATTAAAAGCAGTGTGACTTGTCCTATGGTAAGTACATCTTAAAAGTTGTTTTAAATGCCTTGAACCAAGTTTCTCCTGTGGCGGTTTCAAGATTGTAGCATTCTATCCTAGTTTTACAATGAAAAGGGTTCTTTAGCAATGTGTTGAAAGACAACATGAGTTCACTCTCAGGCTTTGATTATGTTTAATAGCTTTGCTGTCAGACGGTGAGTCATGATCTTTCTCTTCTGTTTTACAGTTTGTATTTACACCTCCTTGCATTTGATAAAAGCAATGTGATGGGCTCTGCCCATTGACAATGATGACTCCTTTATTTTAATAAATGCTGAGGAAAAAAATAAAACTTAGCATGATACGGTGTAAAAGCCCTTCCTTTAGCCATTTTCAATTTTATTTGCATCCTGGTAAAAATCACTATTTTGCAGCATTAACCGTTAGCACATTTATCATTTGATTTGCATAAGAAATTTTGCTTTCTTTCCATCAGGTTCAACTTAGCATAGGAGGCTAAGAAAAATTTCTTGTCTATTTGGAACAATAGACATTTGTAAGCATGCCGTTGAAATATTTGGCTTCATGGGAAGAAATCCATGCCAGTTCTCTCTCCAGTCCAGTAAGAATGAATTTGTCTAGCGGCAGGGCGTGGTCAGTGTAAATGAGTTCTAAAAGGGTCACATGTTGAGCAGCATTTTTAAAAGTCATTTCTTTTAGAAGTCTAGAACTTAACTTTGTGTTTATTTTACAAATGCCATCTTTAGTAGATGTTACTAATTTGAAAAGAATTTTCATCCCCTTTAGTGAAAATGATTTGAGGTATAATGAAGTCAATACCTGAGTACCTGGAACTAACCCCTCAGGTAGGAGACTACTTGGAATTAACGAAATTAATGAGACAGATGAAGTCATGAGTGAGTAGGAAAGGGCCAGATGATAAATGTGTTTGGTTTTGTGAGCCATGTGGTCCCTGCCACAACTGCTCAACTGTGCTGTTGCAGCATGAAAACAGGTATAAACAACATGAGCAAAGAAGCATGGCTATGTCCAAATAAAACTTTATTTAGAAAAACAGAGAGCAGAATAGATGAAGCCTGTGCACCATAGTTTGCTGACCCCTGGTAAAAGATATCAGCCCTCTGAGGATTATATTTTGGCACGTTACTAAAGAAATAGTAACAATATTTTGGCACGTTACTAAAGAAATAGTAACAATAGTAACAGTAATGTTACGTTCACACAGAGAAAATATTAGAATTCCTGGATATAGAACAGGTATTTAAAAAGTGTACCAAAACCAGGTGAGTGGTACACACCTATAATCCCAGTTACTCAGGAGGCTGAGGCAGGAGGACCACAAGTTTGAGGCCAGCTTCAGCAACTTAGAGAGACCCTGTATCTTTTTTTTTTTTTTTTTGGGGGGGGGTAAGGGTATAAGTAGATAAAGTGTGTCCTGACTCCAGCAAGCCTTTTCTCAAGGTTTGCAGGAGCCTAGGCAACAAGTTCTTAAGTGAAGGGCCAAAGATGACCAGAGAGATCCAGGCAAAGAGACTAGACAGTTGTACACCATTATGTTCTCCCAAATATTAAAAGTGAAGGGGTTAAGTGCATTGAAGTGGGAGTAGAGGAGGGAGTCTCTGACTGTGGGAGAAGTTCCAGACTTTTGCCAATATGTTCATTCCAAATAAGAATCCATCCAGGAACTTGGGGAAGTAGGAGCTAGAGAGATAATTGGGCCCTGGCCTAGTAGGCAGTTCAGAGAAGAGAGTCCATCCCAGCAGGAACATTGGACTGCTCAATAAGCACCACTTTGGACTGGTAAAGGAATGTATGTTAGGTGGGAGGAAGACTGGAGAGCTGATRGAGGACAAGGCATGAGAGGAATGCAAGGAGTGATTGATGAGTAACTCAGAAACCTGGAAACTGAAAACTTGTGTTATCAGCAGCTAACTTAGTCATTCAGGTTTCCCCGAGGCACCACAATTCCTGGGGTACTGAAAGATTTAATTAAGGCACCTCTGGAGTATGTGAACTAGTTACTGATCAACAGATCAGGTAGTTGCCAGCATGTCCACTGCAGGGACTGGAGAAGAGGATCAAAACCCAAGAACCATGTAGCGCTGACTGAATTAGGGCTAAAGGCATTATGCTCAGCTAGGGCAAAACTGTGAGAGCCTGAAATGAACTCTTTTTTGATAAAGTCTCACTTATACCTCCACAGGAAAATCAAACACTTTGCCTAATACGGCATTGTTCCATGAGAATCTTATGTATGGAAAGTCATATTCTCTACCTTTTTTTTTTTGACACATAAAGAACTTTTACATTGTGAGGAGTTTAAGAGATGCAGTGAGAATTGAACTTGGAAATTGAAGCAGTTTCAAGATGAAAAGTGGAAACAAAGAACAGCATAAAAGGTATTATGTACAGTAGACGTTGCAAGTGAGGATGAATTATTGTAATGTAGACTACTTTAAAAATAAGGAGAACAATACTTTTAACCTTATGTGTATATTTAAACACTCAAAAAAACATTTCTACTTTTTATGACAAGGGAAAGTAAAGGAGAATACTTGATATTAATTTTATAAAGGCAATATGAAGGTAAAGCATGCTTTTATAGCCACAAGGAGACCCATGTGACTGTGGGCACCATTAATATAGATTTATTGTAGACTTTCCAAAAAGAGATACTCTATTTGTTTTTTTAATAAAATGCAGCCTTTCCCATCCTACAGAATAATAGCCCCCTTTAACATCACAATTAGTGGCTTCTCTAGATAAGATTTGCCAGGAAGGAAAAGTGTACCTTGGTTCCAAGAAATTAATATCTCCTTGGTGAACAGATTTCTAAACAGAAAACACACACACACACACACACACACACACACACACACACCTTAACTTAGATTCCCCTAATAGTTGGAAACAAGAGAACTGACACATTAGTCACATGGCTCTCTGACAACCACACTTGAGGAGCTGCTGTTGAACTGCAGAAGTAGAGGAATTGAATTTGAGATAAATTGAATTGTAACATCTCCTAAGTGAGCCAGGAGAGACAAGGTAGCTTGCTCAGTGCTCACAACACTGATTGTACTGAACAACCTCAACAGCATGAATAAATCTGCATGTGAAGAGTGGATGTGGACAAGAGCCAGGTTAGAACATCTACCTCCAGGTCCAAGTTGATTCTAGAAAATAACCACATTCAGAGCAGCCCACCAGCATTAGTGAAGGTCCTTGTACATGCAAAACATTGGAGAGGGGCAATTGCTATGTCAGCTTTTTTGCTGCTGTGACCAAAGACCTGATAAGAACAATTTTAAGGAGAAAAAGCTTATCTGGGGGCTCACAGTTTCAGAGGTTTCAGTTCATAAACAGCCTGCTCCATTCCTTGGGGCTCAAGGTGAGGCTGAACATCAGGGCAGAAGAGTGTAGTGGAGGGAAGCAACTCACAAGATGATAGACTACACTCACCAGTACAAAATATGTACCCCAAAGGCACGCCCCCAGTGACCCTCATCTTCCAGCCACACCCTAGCTGTCTTCAGTTACCACTCAGTTAATTTTTGTCAAGGGGATTAATTCATTGATTGGGTTAAGGCTTTCATAACCCAATCATTTCACCTCTAAGCCTTCTTGCATTGAAGGCTTTTGGGAGACACCTCACATCTAAACCATAACACTGTGGAAACTGAGATCCAAAATGCAACAATACACATGAGCTTTAAATTTAGGGATCTGAGCAGCAATCATTTTAAATAAAGAAAAATACAGGAAAATGAAGGTAATAGCAAAGGCCACTCACACATGTCCAGAATGAACCCCCCCACCCCCAGTCATACTCCTCAATAGAAACTACAAGTGAGTCTGGGGTGGCTCCTGGTTCAAAGCCATGCAAAGCTGGGAGCATCTCTGACCAGCAGGAGAAACCCAAGCACACCATCTTCAGAGGAAAGAAAGCTTGGTTTTGGTTCTGAGGGTCTTGACCTTCACTGATCCTCCCATTTTCCATGTGGAGAGGTGAAGTCAGACACCCAAACAGGCCTTGCAAAGCTTTTGTATTTGCAGGAGCACCTGTGTCTCCACTGAGACCACATGTTTTGGAGATTCTGCCTTTCCTATGAAACATGCAGAGATTTGCTTACTCACCAAATGGTTTGCCTCCAATCCAAACAACCTTCTCAGTAACTATTTTCATGGTAATAAATTACCTTAGCAATGATTTTGAAAGTATTATTCTATATTGCAGACCCTTCCTCACACAAACTGCTTCATCACAGACCAATTTGGGGACTTTAGAGAAAAATAAACTCTTCTGGTTGCTAATCTCAAGGAGGACCCACCAGATCACATCCACTTCACCTCTCCACTCAATTTGCCCTGTGATAAACAGGTCTTTGCTAGTTTTCTGCCTGCTTTATACAATAGGGATAATGGAAATGAAATGAATACTTCAGAACAAAGGCAATGAAGTATTATTATAGCTGATGAAAGAATGATTTATTCTGAATGCCAATTGCTTAGAGCAAGGATTTTGCAAAAGTCAAATAATAAATGCTTACCATATTGGCAAAGTATTCCCTTATCGATCTTCTATGGAAATCAGATTTCAGATAGAAAAAATGCCTGACATGCTTAAGAATAGATTCCAGAGCAAGTATCTATGATGAATTGTTATCAAGTTTCTAACTTGCTTACAGTACATTTTCAGAAGCACCCAGATACTCAGACTTATAGTTTTCCTTATGTTTGTTGATTTCTAGAATCTATAAGTTAATAAAATTTAAAAGTGAAACTTTGGACTCAGAAGAAAGCTGTAAGGCAACAGTTCTTGTGTTGCATTAGACTCACCTGGGGAGCTTATTTAAAAAGGATTCCCCGTGCCTTATCCTCCAGTGATTCTGATTCAGAAGTTATAGGAGCGCACAGGAATCTGCATTTAGACTAAATAGCCCACGTGCTTCTATCCTGATGGCTCTTGATGAGAGTTTGAGAAAAACTGCAACAGAGTACCTCCTGCTTTTGAATCAGGTTTCACAGGACACATATAAGAAAGAGGACAGAAAGTTAAGAGGCTTAAAATAGCTGAAATCAGAGCCGAGATCAAGCCTCTGGTTCAGAGTGTCAAAAGAGAGGAAAGGATAAAAAGAAATCTATATAGCCAGGCCACTCACCTTGCTCCCCTTCACCTGATCCACACCGAGGCCGCCTCTCACAAGAGAACCCAGCACTAATCCCCCGCAGTCTCTAACACACCCATTGTGTTCAACACTCTTCATTTCTCAGGAATCAAGGCAGGTTTTAGTAAGCAACACTGCAGATAAAAGATGAGGACTACTTAATGTCAAGATAAAAAAAAAAGGGGAATAAAAATACAGTCACACAAATATGTTGCCTGCCCTACCAAGTATTTAGAAAACATCTGGATAGTGTACTTAGTTTCCATTCACCCAGATGTTCTAGCTCTGGTTACAGAGCATGCCATTCATTCAAGCCTTTCATTTGGATGACATAGAAGTGTCTGATGAGCATGTTGCAGAGTGTGGGGTGATGGCACAGCTTAGAACCATGCACAGGCACTCCCCAGGTCCAAATAGATTCTGTCGTACAACTTGATCTGTAACCTGATGTTCATAATTCAGAGCCTGGCTTCCTCTGGAAACCATGTTCCATGATGTGGTTAACAGCTCAGGCCAGCCCATACAAGACCTTTTAATCCATAACATAGCCAGAGTAGGGTATGCAATAAAACACCCAGCTGAGATCTGGCAGTAAAATGCCCCTATGAAGCCGTGAGGAAGAGGAGAAGGAGAAAATTTTTCTCTTTCCTAGATTCAAGGATGACCCCAGGCAGAATTTTGAATAGAAGAAAACTGGTTTTGCTATAGCATTGCTTATTCTCCTGAGCATTACTTCCCTGAACTTTCTGTACTCTCCCTCCTAAAACTTGCCCTCCCTTTCCCTCTGGAGGATTCCATGTTCCAAAATGTACTGTGTCTTCCTTCATTTCCAGTTAAAACTCACATTCCTAAATGCAGTTGGTTTGAACTAAATGTAATGAAGAGAAAGTGGGACAAATTTGATTAAATACGTAAATGGTCAAAAGCCCCCTACCCTTACAAGTAATATTTGCCTTTTAAAATAGGTTGATGATCTTTAAAAAGTGAATCTCTAATTGTTGAAATGGTAAGCAATGCTGCATAATATTAGAACTACATGAATATTAAAGAGAAATATTCAGATTCTTTGGGGGGGGAGGGAGATAATAGGTGAGATTTGCCTAGGAATCCTCTCCAGAGCTGTCTTTCTCACATTTGTACCAACAACTTCTATTATTCCACTTTCAAATGCCTAGATTTTGCAAAGACTATGCATTAGGTTTTGAAGCATCCAATATGGAGGCAATGAGACCACCAATATGTTTGTGGTGGGCAAGGACTGGGTAGAGATATATACCCACAGAACATACGAATCATTTCTGAATGGTTCTGCTGCTACCGAAAAATGTATTGGCCTAGGTAGACAAACACCCATGCTGATTGTATGTAAATATACTGAGTGTTTATGGTGAATCATGTTAATTAACACAGACCAGCACTTCTTAGTGATATACTACAATCAATATTGTTCTATTATGATATCATCTCTAATTAATTTTGGCTCTGCTGGTGAAAACAGCAGACTTTAGCTATACCGGGAAGGGAATTTGAAATATATATCACTTTACCATGGACTAAGCTAGTGACAAGCGAAGCTTTTGGGGGGTGGGTGGAAGAAATCATTCCACATCAGTGCACTCTGTTGTTGTATTTCAACCAGAAAACTCTGCAGAGAGGAAAAAAACATAATCACTGCAGGAGGATTTAAGAGGCGGAAAGAGAAAGAAGCTATGTGACTGTCCAAGCTGGGGGTTTGAGTAAAATTCAACCAGAAGGACGGGCCACTTGACTGGCGCTTACTGCAAAAACTAAACACTTAGAGATTTCACCCCATTCTCTTTGTAAGAGAGTGAAATGTGTCTCTTTCTGATGTTAGGAGGGACTGGATTGGAGCAATAATAAAGGGGCTTCTCAAATCTAAATGAGCAGGTTCAAATCCCATCTCACCACCACTTTTCAGACATCTACTTTGGGACAAGGTCCTTATTCTCTCAAGTATCCTTCTCCTCATCTGTAATATGGGACTAATAATAGTTATTATCATCCACTACCTCAGAGAAAGCCATAAGGAAGAAGACATTCCTGAAGGAGCCTGGCACACTTTAAGCATTCATGAAGTGTAAGCTGTTATTAGGTTGAAGGAAATAATTTTGTGGCCTGTTCAGTTCAGTGTAATAATGGGCTACGTATAATAGCACCTTAGTCTACCTACCCAGACAAAATCATTACACTCCAGGCCAACTCTGCATCTC